TCCAGCTAACGAGCCTGTAGCTAAGAAAAGCTAGAGCACAGCATTTCTCCACCCTCACCTTGCCACCTCTGTTCCTGTACCATTCTGTCACTACCCCAAGAGCCAGGGAAAACCATCATATCAAGAGGAAGTTTCCCGTTGCCAGCTACTATGTACCTTAACAACCCTTTTATATCACCAGAAAAGTGTGAGAGGACTGAAAAGCAGAAGAGTAGTTAACTCACCCAATGGACACCATACCATTACTTTCTTCAGGAGTTCAGTGGATTAAAGGTCTCTGCTGTGAGGGACCTCTTGGAGAACCCTCTTCAAGAGACAGGGGTTTAAAATGACCCTCAAGCTCTGCATGAAAACTGAAGGACATGCTCAACTGGTCAGGAGTGGGACTATCCACAGACTGTAGTAACAGCAATCCTAGGTTTAGGATCAGGGCTTTAAGAAAACAGCTGACATCTAGACAGGCTCTAGATACATTTTTAGCTGTACATGGGGGGTTTGTGGTGTGGAATGTAACTTTAGTCAGACAAGGTCTCCCCCACAGAAAGATCTTCATCTTTCAAGCAACTTCCTTCCTCACTTCTGGCCCTGTTCTGCACTCTACTGCTCCTACCTCCTTCCTGCTTGTAAACCCCTTCCCTTGTAGCAGGGCTGCAGAACCTCGAAGTCTCCCTGAAACTTTGTGGAATGGCAAATGTCTACTCAGAGAAGTTGTAGGTGCTCAAGCTGGAACCTTGTCTCTTTTAATCCTTAAACAAGGGCAGCTGGGAAGAAGACAGTCTGTGTTCTTCTCAGACATTGTCAGTGACCTAACGTGATGAAAGGAAACAGCCTGATGTCTCTTAATTGCTGTGTTTCTGATCTAGGGCTAAGAAGAACCCATCATCTTTAGCACAATGTCAAAGAATCTGGCAGGGTTTGCATGGCCAGTTAGTGACTCATGGGTAAATATGCATGGACACCATGCTATGAATTGTGTCTCAGCCCTGTTTCAAAGTGGTTACAGCCCACTAAAGTTCCAACAAGGACTGGAAAAGGCACTGGATTTCCAATACAGCAAGGACAGAAAATGGTCCCTGCTGAGAGTGCCTTTCAGCTCATCTAGTCTTTGTGGTAAGTGACCACTTGACAGCTCTGTAGACTCATGGGAGACAAAGGTTGGAGGCAGCTACAACCCCAAGAGGAAACAGTGTGAGTTGATACTATCCCTGGCCCACACACAATTTCAGAAGACATTTAAGGTAAGAGTTCCTGGTAGACCAGGAACTTGTTGCTTGGCAGCTGTTGGAGAATGGCAGTTTGCTTAAGGGAAGACAAGTGGGGTAACTTTCCCAGTGCAGGAACTACGCCTGTACAAGTGCCAAATTTCCAAGCACAGACTGAGGTCAATAAATATATCATAGAATTATGTCCACCAATACTCTGAACGTAAAAGGCAGTTCAAATAGGTGGAGGTTCAGTGCCAAACTGTAGCTTATAATCAAAACCAGTAACATTGGTAAAATTACCATGACAGTGTCCAACCACTTACTATGACAAAAGAGGTGAGCCATGCAGTAAGTACATGGGCAGTCTCTACTGTGCTTCTCCACAGTAAGCAGTGTATACCAATGCAAAATCTAGTAGTTCTAAAGATTTCTTTTTCAGAATCCTCCCCTGTGCCCCTTCTGAAGTTCAGTGTTTGGTTGGAAACACCCAAGGCACTTTAATAGTACTTTTCTGCAGATGGAGATAGATGAGACAGGAAAAAAAGAAAGTGGAAACAACACAAATGAGGTAGTTCTGAAACAAGCTACTCCCCTGGGAGATCTGCTGAATGCGTTAGCTTCTCAGCCAGATCTCTGCAGGAGAATGTTTAAAGCTGGAGCAGTTAACTGGGTATTCACAGGTAGGACAGTTATGGAGATACAGTGCCAAGCTGAGAGTCAGAAAATTTCATTGTAAATAACATCTTACATAACAGTGGGCAAGTCACTTCACTGCATGGTAGTTTTATCCATCTGTAGAACAGATGATAACTTTGACTTTTCTTCATGAAACGGAACCTAAAGAACAAAAAATGCTGTACAAACCCAGTTCAGATTCCACTAGCAGGGATGGAAAGCCTCACGTGAATTTGGTGAGCCATACTCAAGCCTTAGAAGTTTTAAGCACCTAGAAGTAGTCATCATTGGTAGAACTAGACTGGTAGTCACCAGACAGTCATGGTTTCAGTAGTTTTGTCCTATCTGGAGTTCTCTCAAACCCATAGTCAATCTTGGAAAAAGCAAACATGCAAATTGAAACTTAAGAAATCAACACAAAATAACATCATTTCACTCCATCTTTAGACCTCATCCCTGAAATTTTTCAGTCTGTAGATCAGTGATGTTTTCTTCATTCCCGTAACAGACTAATCACATAGTAAATACCATGTGATTACCAAGTCCTACCTTCAGAGAATTAGGTGCTGCAGATAGTGGTTTGGAACACAACTACTCTGCTTAACACTTACTTACACACACCAGGAATAGATGCAGTCTTCTGTGCTGGTAATTTCTCTGCTTCCTAAATATTCAGCAAAATTGTTATTGTGGATTAGCATTGCTATCCAGAATGGCTCATGTGTGGAACGTTCAAGGGATGTTAGCATGACAGTTCAGTGCTTTGTCCATGTCTCCAACTACTCTGCTCTCTTCCTATTGAATAGAAACAAAATAGCAAGGTTGTGGACTTTCAACAAGTATAAAGAAAAATTCATCACGGCTAAAGGACCCTGAGCAGGCTGCAAGAGCAATTTCCTGCTTAAGTTGCCAGGGATGTATAATGCAATTCAAGAAATTAATTCCAAGAAGGTCAAATTTCTTGTCATTCAAGCACAACAGAGCCCACACGCTCCCTTGAAAAGGGCCAATGACTGTTACCAGTGAGCAGCCTGACCCACAACCACTCTGCTCAGAGGTGTTTTGAGGTCCAGAAATGGACCAGTGCCCGCTCCATCACAGTTTAGTTTGCAAACCCAGGCTGAGGTGAAGCAGTGGGAGTCTCAGAGACTTCAGCGCAGAGCTCTGGTGACACAGCTGCCTCCCTCATTTCAGGACTAGAGCCATCAGCTTGTAGCAGTACAGGCTTATGAAGAAGCTCAATTCTTTGCTCATCCCCGTGAGGACAGCAGCTCTCCCCAAACAGAGTTAAGTCATTTTTAAATCAACAGCTCAGTACCTGCAATGTCACGGTTACTATGGCAGCTGTGCCAGCTTGTGTGCAAAGAGGGGTATTGAATAGCAGTGAGCATTATGAACAGAAAGGAATTGCAACTCAGTGCAACCTTAAAACTTTAAAATCCTATTGAAATTAATGTCTACAAGTATTAAAATGCACCTATAGCTTTTGCCAGGTTTTTAAACTTATTGAAAGACCTAATTATTTCATTGCTTACAAAATAAAACATTACTACCTCCCTCTTTGGGTAAATAATTGGCTAATTCTGCATGGAGAAGAAAGGAGACAGAGGTGAGATCTGCAGAAAAGACTGTTGATATTGTGAGAAACCAGTGACATCTAAATAAAAGTCATAGAATGCAATTACTGGTGCATGGATAGATACACAGTACGTGTCATATACATAGGGGGGTGTTTGTGTTTGCAAAGAAACAAATACAGCTTGAAAAGGCTTTTACTTACTACTCATCTATGTTATTCACCTGAAAGCAGAGGATCAGAATCGTATCTCCAATCCCTACCTATAGTATTTGTTTTTATTTTGGGCTGGTTTTACTATTTGGCTTCAAAACCATTGAAAAATAAATTACTATCATGTAGTGTTCAGAACAAGCTAGTATGCAAATCAGGAAGAGGCATTGAAATTAAGTCTATCCACTGAGTTTGTCTTTTCTTAAAGACTTGCAGGATCACCCATTGCCTTACAGTGTCTAGGTAATAAGCATTGTGCAACCGAGGTGTAAGATGCTGCCAATACTACTCCGTTAACATATCTCAGCACTTGTGAGACTTCAGAAAGCACATTTTGACTGGTTTTTCGTCCCTTCAACCAAAATACTCATATCCAGCTGTGCCATGTTTCGAGTATATTCTCAACTTACTATTTTTCACTTTAAAACCCTAAAATAAATCCTACACTAAATAGCACTTTACATTGTTTTATAAATGTCAAACAAGTCACACAGAGAAAACATACTTCCTCAGTCTATCCTCATGGGAACGTGTGGAGCAAAATGGGCAAATCTGACAATCTTATTTATATTATTTACAGCTGAGAGTAAATTTTACTCTATTTTCCAAATTCATGGCCTGCTGTACTGTTTTCTGTATGTAGTGTCCTGTGCTGGCATTGCAAATTCTGTATGTGTTTCAGAGCAGAACATCAGAAAATGGATTTCTTTTTTTTTAAATCCACATTCTGCTGTCGTATTTCCATACATAATGTACTCTGTGTGTCTAAAATGCCTACAGCCATTCTGCACGACTAATACCAGAAACGCTATGAAGCAATCTGGGTAAATTTTGGGGAGGGGAAGAACAGGAATTTTCCTCTCAGTAATATCGCACACAGGCGTAAATCAACGCAAACAGAATATACTCAAATACTAAAACCCAACTCACAGCCCACTGCCTCTCCAAAGCTCTGAGCGACAGTAGGCTGCATGAAAAACCAGGTCATTCACGCACCATCCGATGTCATGCCAAACATAATCCGATTTCTAACCGCAGTCTTCTGCTCGCAGGACTAGGACCCAATGCACGCCCGTTTCTGAAACCGCCCCTCTATGCGGAAGTACAGGTGGCTGCTGTTACACCTAATGCGATCACGCTTTGTTTCTCCTCCCACTTAACAGACTTTATTTCATTTTGGTGCAGTGCACACGAACGCAGTGTCTAGGACAGATGTGCTACCTTTTAGAGTGTCGCTATAGAAGTCTTTAGCTGTGAACCCTTAATTTGCAGCTGGAACTCTAATAAACAGTGCATAGTGTTTCAATAGTCTTCTGCTTATATGTTTGAAGATTCGAAACTGAATGGTGAGGTGGCCAAGGCGGCGCTGGCAAACGAAGACTGTCCCCACATAGACCAGGCTATTACGCCTGATGAGGGCCTGCCCTTTACCCGCTCTGGCACTCGGGAGAGATATGGACCCTGCTTCCTCTTATCAACCGGGGAATATCCCTGCCCGCCTGATGGAGGAATAAGAAAGGGTATGTAGCTGGGGTCCTGTAACCATGTAGTTAGCAACTGTTTTAAATAAATAAGAGAAAGTCAGCTGTAGCTCTAGCACGCAATAGTGCGCTTGCTGTAGAGATGCACGTTTGGGCTGGAAACCACCACCTGTTGTCTGCATTTGGAGTTTCTAACCTATTTCTTTCAGAAAGAAAAGCCTGAGGAGCTGTAACTACCCCATGCAGTCATGCTAGGCAGTCGGGTCTTCCACCTCAGCTGGTGCAGTAAGCTTTAGTGGAGGATGCTCTACAACGTCCTTATGTTAGCCCATCCTCCATGTAGAGGCCAACATTTCATAGAAATGAAGGTTTGCCACTTGGAAAGCTTGCAGATCTTACCAGACTCGGAGGAGCTAAGACTTGGAGGTGGCAGACAGAAAAGATAAAACACAAAAGCAAAACATCCTCAAGAAGTAACAGAATGATTATTTGGTTCCCTTAGCAGAGCACTAAAACAAATTATTTGGATATTCATAGCTGTTAAGTTCAACAGAGAAAGAGAAGCATACAAGAACATCTGTTAGCACAGGTGTCTTACATTTGGGAAATAATCCATCTAAAATCATTTGCCTTTCATAAATAAATCATTCCTAGTTAGTTTCTCAGACTTCTGATAGCTCTCAGAAGTAACTGCATTTTAGTTCTCTAATGGTCAGAATTATCTGTTTAGCAACAGAAGTCAAATGAAATGAAAAAAAAATATCCCCTTCTTAAAATAGGCTGGTTTGTTTAAATAATTTAACATGAGGAAACCATACAAACCAAAATTAGAGTTACACATATATGCATCCAAGTTGATACAGAACAGGAAAATTGGAATTCTCTCTCTTCAAATCAGTGTTTAGCACTGGTGTACTGTATATAGTATATAATATAGTGAATATTTTAAAACTGCAAAGATTGTATGACGTAACCATACACTGAGTATGGAGTATAGAATTCCCATGTGCCATTGTATGATGGGCAATAGTTATAGTAAATGCCAGTTATAGATAGTGTATGTATTTATAAGTTTAAAGCTTATCATCAACAAAGATAGACTTGGACCACAAGACTTTCATATGAAAGTATATCCTCTAAAATTTACCTTTGTAGCAAAGTGTTTTATTTGATTCTGTATTGGATAAGCATTGGCCGTGTTCATTCAGCCTGGGCGAGTTTGGGTGGTTCCAGTGGATCAGGGGAACACTCCAAATGGCACATCCTTTGGGATGAGGAATGTATGGTTTTCACGATGCACTGCAACCGCCTCTCGTTACTGAATGAAACAGAGGCTGGTTGGCTAAAGAGTAATATACGTCAGCATATTGTTGGCCTGTTTGAAACACGTTGAGAGCATCTTAATTGTTGTTCCAACAGAATTTCATCCATAGTTTGTGCAACTCTCTGTACACTTGCTGAGCTGTTTATGTGCATGTCTGAAAAAGAACGGGGGGAGGGAGGGAGGGGGGTGGGAAACAAAATGCAAATGCATGCAATTTTGTTTTCTTTCTTTCTTTTTTAAATGCTGAGAACAAAGGAGTAGTATCTCTATAGCAACCCAATAAATTCTAAGGATTTTGCTGCCTTTCCCCCCCCCCCGCCAAAGATACTAGAAACCTTAATTTTGCCTGAGGTCAAAATGCATGAAGTGGAAGGGAGAGGTATGCGTGACTGTATGACTGAGACACAGAAAATCCCTCCCACTGACTCTTTTCTTTTTTAGGGTACAACCATGTCGCTGCCTGTAGGATCAATTACATAGCCTGACCATCCTTGAGAAATGATGAATTTTTTTTTTTTTTTGTAAATAGATATATATTTTTTAAACTTTTTCTGTACTTCAATGGCCTTCTTGAGTCACGTTGCAAGCGATACTACTCTCAGCATGTCCGTGCATGCAGATGCTATTGAACTGGCTACAATGTTGACCTCATTCTTAGTCCATTCTGTCATTGATCCAATGCTGTACTTTGCATTTTTCTTTTAAATGAAGGTTACGAAATGTCACGGAGCCTTAACAGCATAGCTGGCATAAGTGGAAAAGCGATAGGATTATCCTCAGTGTCTGCGCCCTACAGCTCTCCTAGTCCAGTGAGACGTTCTTGGTCTCCCATCCCATCAATTTTGTAGCATGGATCAGTAGCAGAGAATGGTCTAAAAAGCTTTATTTTCAAATTAGCCTATGCTATGTTGCATAAAATCCAGGTGACTAAGTCTGAAGATGCAATGTCTCGCAGTAGCACCTGCTGGGAACGGTGTTACTACTGATGCTAGGTGACAACACTCCTAAATAGCACTCAGATGACAATAGGCAGGCATTTACGCAGTACTGCTGGGCCATATGCGCTGCATGGTATCAGTACTTAGGATGAAGGGTAGATGCACCAGATAGTTTCCTTCCTGGTGCATCATGTTAGAATATGCTTATTTTGGCTAATGGTGGATCTACTGGCTCTGTATGGAACGGGTTAGGCATTTAGTCGATGCTGAAACATGCCAACGATGGAAGATTTTGCTTTTCTCAGGATATTTTTGAGCCATAGGAACCCTGCAGGAGTTTGAGCAAACAAGCACAGTAGGATGAAACTTTGCATGGGCGCCTATTTTAAGCTGAAAGCAATACTCAGACACACTATAGAGAGGTCTCAGTCTGGCTGACTGCATGGAAAAAAAAAATCCTGTTGAAGAAGATTATGGCTGCCTCTGCATGTAGCTATTTCACCTTTTCCTCCTTCCTTTAAAACTAAGATGCCGAGCTTGATGTGAAAAGCGCAGGGAAGAAGCTCAAGTACTGATTGTATTCTTTACATGCAGATCTTTGCAAAGAAAGTCCAGTCATTGCTAAATATATGCCAACAGAGGCAGTCAGAGTGACCTGACAAGGCAAGATGGAGATGAACATTGATGGCTAATAAACATCTGTGTGGAACTGTGCAGGCATAGAAGACCTTCTCATTTGGACAAAGTTAACTCGCTCCATGCAGGTTTTCTGGATGATTCTTCATGGTTTCGGAGTTGTACTAGAGATGCAGGCTTTTTCTACGGCCAAAATGTAACAAAACTGTAGAAGATCCTTTTTTTTTTTTTTAAATCTATTTTTTTTCCATAGCATGAATTGCATGAAGACAAAAAAAAAAAAAATTCCAAGAAACACTGCAAATGTATGACTGAGGAGAAAAAAAAGCAAAGTTATATATTTTCTTTCAAAGCTCTTTACTTTTACATACATTGTTGTAGCCAAAATGTAAAACATTATAAAACTGTACATTTCTTTGCTATGGATCGCTTCTTTTTGTATACAAGATACAGAGTAATGGTTTTAAAAAGTGCAATCAGGCAGTCATCGGTCATATTGACCACGCCTTCACAGTTCATCACACCAACATGGAAACCAAGAACTTTTAATCCAACTAGAAGTGTATAAAAATAAGAAAAACTTTTTCCTGTCTGTTTTTGTTGGCATGCTTGTGACACATGGGACCTTCCTTCGGACCTGACAGTAACACAGCTGGTCTAGATTTAATTTTCCAGCTCTGGTTATGTTGTATTTTATTGATGTATAGATCCAACGTAAAGACCCTTCATAAATTGTTCATATTAAGTAATCAGTATGAATTTTAAACAAAAGAGGTGTTATTTTAAAACTGGGACTTATAGTACAAATTCAGGAAAATACACAAGTATAAATGGTCTCAAAGTTTAAGCAACAAGACAAACAGCATTGTATGCAATTTAGTACTGAGTAAAATGCATGCACAATGTTATGCAAAACAATTCTAGCATGAAATAAATTTTGTATCATGGTTTCAGTGCCTGCTGTATAGTGTAAAGGGGAATCCTTTTCTGAAGCGAACAGGGGTTTCCAGAGACTTGCTTCTAAAATCTTGAATAAATACAGTGTTCTCAACAGAAACGTAGGAGAAAAGCTTGGTATTGCTTTGGTTCTACAATGCTAATTTTGGTTAGTAGATAATAAATGAAGCCTGCAAACACTTGATACAACTGATGTCTGAAGAATTCACACCATTAGTAATTTTACAAGGGAAGATTAAAAACAACCCTATAATTATCTAGGTGTCGAAATGAAAATCTTCATTTTCTCTCCCCAACAATAATAAAAGTTTGTCTTTTTAGCTGATTAAATGAATCCAGTTTTTCTTACTTTTTTGGGCCCCGTCCTTCACTTGTTCTTCACTGAGCCACAGCAGACCGCCTGATAGGAAACTCTGAAAGAAATCCAGGGCCTGAATCGCACTTTATTTTCCAACACAAAACATGCTGCAGTAAGAACCGAGAAACACAGTGGGATTAAATTTCATTTCAGATCCTACAAATGACAGCTATGAACTACATGTCTACAGCATTCTAGTTGCTTGAGCATTTTTGGTAAAGTACTTCTATAAGGAAGGACGCACCTTTATCCTCATGTGAAGAACTTCAAAAGAGCTGGTGACCTAGACAAGCTATGGCATCTGCATCTGTGACTGCTGATGAGAATGGAAATGTAGAGGAACAGTATCCTCATGATCTGGAGGAAGTATAGATTAAACCCAATAAAACAGAAGAAGCACTCATGGCTCTGGTAAGTGCTAAATTATAAACAACAAAACAACTGCAGCTGGACCTTATCTTCACAAAACTCCTCTCTGAAAGGAAAATCAAGGAAGGCCTCAAGCTGTGTTTTAGGAATAGGAGAATGGCTGATAATCTGAATTTTTATATAATTAGAAAACTCCATTGTAGTCCTTGATATAGCATTATGTACTTGATTTCTACTTCAGTTAACTATCCTTTCTTCCAAGAACTATTTCTCTCCCATTGCTTCTATGCTGTTATTCTCAGATGATAAATGGGCAATTTCTTACCTCCAAAGGTAAGATCCAGGTTAATCCAGGATCCAAAAGTTGCATAATGAACAACTTTTCCTCTTACAGTGTATTAAGAATCCAGAAATAGATTTATCTGCCCCATTTTTTATTTAACACTAACTCAAGGGCTCACTGTGAAGGATGCTCAAGTTCTCCATTACCATAAGGAATACTAACAACTCATCCCGCTAAATCCCACGTAGGTTTTCCCTTTCCACTGTGTTTTGCATATATATGAGCATTAGCTAACAGGTTGGGTACACATGCCCTAAGGCCTTTGTCATTCTGTGCTACTTTTATATCTACCAGTCTCATTTTTATCTAGGTACTCCTCTCAGCTCATTCTGATCCAAGGTAACCTTGTCTTTTGGGTGACTTCTAACCCTTCAGAAACAGAACAGCACTCCCCATCCACTGCTCTCCAGGAGATGCTCTAAAGCTTAAGAGTAGCCTGAGCCCAGAGTTCCCCTTGCACAACAGTGGCAGCT